AACATGCAACCATAGCAGCGAAACAATAGGGGATTTTTTATAACTAGCCCTCCTCAAGAGAGATGGTGGGCCTTCCAGTTCCTAGATAAAGAGAAGGGACTTAAAACATCACCTGGATGAGAAGGAATTTACCTGAAGCTTTAGTCTTAAAAAAAAAAAAAAAAAAAATGAGACTAACATCTTGGATCTCCCATCCAAGTACTAACCAGGCCCGACCCTGCTTAGCTTCCGAGATCAGACGAGATCGGGCGCGTTCAGGGTGGTATGGCCGTAGACACAACTTGGATCTCAAGTGCCTTGAGGGTCCCCACCTGACACTTCTGCTTCTGAGGTTCAGTCACGTTCTTCAGATCAGGACTGTCACTGTTGTACTACGAACTCTCCTCTTACCCAGAAGCTTAGAAGAACAAAGCCAGCAGAGGAAATCCCCCAGCTGCAGCCGGCGAGGGGGCTGGAGGGAGCAGTCGGCAGGGTGTGTGGGGCCCAGCCAGTGTGTGTGTGTAGCCCTCCCTCCTTCACTTCTTCAGAGAGAGACTTCCTTCTAACAGGGACCCCTCTGTTGTTGTGGCTGAGAGTTTCTACTTGAGAAGCATAGTTTCCCAGTGATGCCACCGGATTCCTGATGTGTGACACCCCGGGGCAGCATGGTGAAGGACGCCGTTGACTGCCTTGGGGCCCCCAGACAGGGACACCATTGTGAGTCACATTGAGTGTGTGAACTCCCCCTTCCCATGACTGGCACTATTCTTAGTACCATTCTCTGCTCCCTGGGACAAAGGTCACTGGGAGCACCGTCCAGTTGGGTGGGTGGATGGGGCTGGGCCCAGGGTGAGAGGAGGCACAGGGAGAATGAGGAAGAGGCTTTACAATTTGAGGATATGTTGGAGCAAGGGCGAGGGATGCAGGAGCCCTGCAGCCCCGGGATTTGGGCTGAGATACACTAAGCAACCTAGAAACATCCTCTGGGAGAGTCTGTAACCAGCACTGCTAGTCTCATTTCCGGGTTTCAACAAGTCTGGGGCCTAGGAAGTTCCCGTGGGCCTAGGCATGGATGAGATGGGCGGGGTCACCCAGTGTGCATTGCCATCCTGGAGCTCCCTGCCAGCTGTGTGCTTCCCTCTGGGGATCCTGATATCCCTTCCCAGACCTGCAATGAACGTGACCAGGCTCCTGTGCAGGACTGTCCACAAGTCCAGCTGGGTAATGGACCTACCCCGGACCCAGAGTTCTTACCGAGACCTGGCGTTTCCAGCTGGGAGAATAATTCCACGTCCTTCCTATTTACGGCTCCCCACCACCAAAAGCTCCCTTTAGGAGTCAGCCAAAGGGAGGAATCTTTGGAGGGGGGGTAATCTTATGGATTCCTTTCATTTGGTACCACATCCTGAGCTTTCTGAAGGGCGAACAGCCTCTTTAGGAATCCCACGGCAGGAGCCCTGCGTGTGCCTGTCAGCCCTGGCTGGGCTTCCAGGATCTTCCTTGCAGAGTCAGGGAACAGAGACTCGAGCTGACATCACCCTATTTTGACTTTCTTGTTGTGAAGCTTTCAAGAGACATTCCTCCCTGTTCAAGTTCCTTTGGTTAGGCATCTGGTTTTCCTATTTATGCTCCCTCTTGCCTTTGTTGTAAATAGTAAAAAAAAACCTGATAGTATCTCACCCACGACCTGGGCTCCTAGTTCCCAGATTTCACAGTTTTATGTTCCTTTTGAACAGAGGAAAATTCACAATGAGACCAAAAAAACAAAAAGCAAACAAACAAAAAACACACAAAAAACCCACCAAACCCAGAGACAAGGGTTTACCCTGCCCCCCTCCCACCCCTGGCTGCCCAGGGAGGCAGGGTTGGCACAGACAGATAGAACTTGTCCCTCTGACATTTCAGTTTGGGAAATGGCACTGGGCAGGAGAAAGAGCAAGAATAATTCTGACATCTGTGCCTCCGTGAGCTGGTTCCGGCGACAGGACTTACACACCCCCTTTGCACTTTCTGGCTGCCCCAGGGATCCCAAGGGCGAGGAACTGGGATATGTTCCTGAGCCTCTCTCTTTGGGACTTGGGATGTGCCTGCTGCTCCCTGCCAGGGACTAGGACTTACCTGGGTAGAAAGATCCCAAAATGTCCTTCCTTCCCCTTCGCTGAGCTTGGTGTGACTAGCCCTCCACTCCCCAAAGGAATGTGAAGATAATGGGAAAGAGGTTTGTAGGTAAATAGTGAGAGGGAGAAACAGTGAAGTAACATTAGCCTCACAGCTACCAGGAGGGGAAGGACTCATGGGACTGGACATAGCACCTTTGGAGGTGAACACCAAGGTCCCCAGTGGTTGGATGGTCAATCCGGAGAACCACTGGCCAGCCCAGTGTCCCATGTATGCTGTGAGCGGTGAGGAAGAGATTTTTTTTTTTTTAAAGCTTGGTCCTTTTATCCCATGGCTCCTCTCAACCAGGCCGCCCGTTCAGATTTCTGCCTCTGGGTGGGTCTTATTTAAGGACAAAGCAGTGCCAAGCTGAAGGATTTGGGGGTCAGTCCGCCTGGGTTCCATTCACGGCCATTTTACTTCTGAATGGCCTTGGACGAGTCCAGGGGACAAGTGACCCAGGAACTCAGTGTCCTCTGTTGTGAAAATGGAAAAACAAATTTGCGAGTCCTAGTACCTACTCCCTGGAGTTACTATAAGGTATAAATGAGATGAACATAAAGCATTACGCACAGTGTCCAGTGCGCGTGAGTGTGCGACACGCCTGAGCTCTCGTTTGCACTTTTCCTCATCCGGGGTCTTACAGTGACTCCTCTCTCTCCGTGTTCTGGCGCTTGTCTGTGGGCGTGGCCCGGGAGACGACTGACTGCAGACTCCAGGGCTCCTTCACGCGGTTTCCGAGTAGTTGACTGTTCCTGGTTATGTTTCTCTTCCAAAGAGTGGGAAGACAGTGCTGTCCTGTTGGGTGTAGGGTCCTCTTTGCGCCTCTTCCGGAAGCCTGCTCTTTTGCCACGTTGTTTCAGTGGCTATTTGTGAATTTCTTGGCTAGCAGAGATTCCACAGCCTTTCTTAATAGAGACGTGTGGACTGATGGCTCCTGTCCAGAATGGCTTCTCCACCGATTTCTCCCATAATGTCCCGTTTCGTCCTGTGAGCCCAGGCAGGCAGTAGTGACTGGTACCTTGAACTCAAGGCCCACGAAACCTGCCAATATGCCCGAGTTGTAGGCAAAACCGTGTTTTAACAGGCTGAGAAACAGAAGAGGGTAAGGCTTTCTTGGGGTCACCTTCTGGGCTGTTTCTTTGAATGCTCAGTTATTTCGTAGGTCCACGGGATCATCTCATTCTAGAATATGCATAAGGTATTTCTTACAGGGTGGTTTTCGAGAGTGCAAGGTGCATTCTTAGAAGGATGAAGTGAAGCTGTTTCATCTTCCAGTTTTAGCTTGGCCTGTGCTGGAGACACGCTGGGGTTCACCCCCAGCAGGTAGCCGCTGGGGTTCGGGGGGCGCAGGATGCTTCCTTTGGCTGTCCAGTGAATGTCCACGTCAGCTGCTGTTGCCCTGCTGCTTCGAGTCTGGAGGCCTGGACACCGGACCCAGAACCATCACGTTCACACCATGCCCCAGAGCAAAGTCACCTTGATTTTCTGAACATTTTTCTTTTTGTTTCTTAATAGGGCGGAAACACTAAGATTCGTTGTGCCTTGCCTATAGAGAGGGCTGGGGAGTGGATTTTAGGAGTTAGCAAAATGATATATGGGAACATATCTTGTAGAAGTATAAGGTATAACAAGAGTTGACCCCTCTAGATCATAAGAACATTTCTCTTTCTAGATGAAAAAAGTTTATTTCCCATTGAATCTCACTTTCCTTTGGATCAGACAGATCTGAAGCTCAGGTTAAGGATGAGAGCCTTAGAAAGTCAAGTGTCCCTGTATGAGCTGGAGTGCTCCTGGCTTCCTTCGTCTTTCCTCCTCTGCCCAAATGGCTTCTAAGATGGTGCTGTAAGTGTAGACCTGTAGCAAGCACCACGGACTTGAACTGTAATGTTGAACCATGTTGTTTCTCCCTCCAGCTACGCCCATGAACGAGATTGGAATCACCGGCAGCATTGTCATATCTGAATAGAAAGTTATCTTACAAGGAAATCTATGAGCATAAGTCCTTTAGCGTGAGATAAGTGGACCATCAGAGTGTGTCTGGTTTTCCAGAACCAAGATCTTGGCAGTGTTGATGGCTAAGACAAGAGGATTGTGTGTGTGTGTGTGTGTGTGTGTGTGTGTGTGTGTGTGTGTGTAAGTTAGAATATACTGACCCAGGAAGAATTTCTGAGACCGCCCTCACCTGACCTCTGAAGATTTCGTGGGTGGCAGGTTAATCCCTTATACAGTGCTGATTCTCTCCTTTCTTAGTTTGTGAGTCTGCCTGTAAATGGCCTGGGGGAACAGGATTGTGGTGGAGAGTATTATGACCTTATGACTAAAAGAATGTCTAACCTCTGTGTCCTTGTTAGATGACCTTAGGATAGCAATCCTTGCCACTTACAAATCAGGGACTGGAGGCTCTCTAATACAGAGAAGCACTTAAGAGCTTTGACTTAAGATGGGAAGTGGCAAGGTATTCCTTAGTTAATGACTGTATTACTAATCAAAGCAAACATGACTTAGTTCTTGAAGGCACGAAGGTTTATGCTGCCTTAGAATGTCTCAGAGGATGGATCCAGTAATTTTCTTTCTAGAATTTTCATTGCAGTAAAAATGGACTGACCGTTAAGTCAATCAAAATAATATTGATAAGACAATGGTATATTGTAAGTGCTTTTTTTGGGGGGGGTAGAAAGTTTTTCACCTTTCAGTCCTTGTGAACTCACAGTACCTCCTCTAACTTTTGTGCTGTATGCCGCCTTCATCCTCCCGGGGCTGGACGGACTGGAGAGGAGGCAGGAGGGGCGCTGTGTAATGGGACTCATTGCTGGTGCTGTTGAGCGTCTGGTGTAATGATTCACAATGGCTTGTGTTTTCAGGCAGTGGACCAATCCAGCTGTGGCAGTTTCTTCTGGAATTACTCACTGATAAATCCTGTCAGTCTTTTATCAGCTGGACAGGAGATGGCTGGGAGTTCAAGCTTTCTGACCCAGATGAGGTAAGAAGGGAGTGACGAGCGAGCGCTGTGTGGAAGGGGGATGAGAGTGAACTCTGGAACTCTGGAAAGTGGTTATGTGGGCCGGGATGACATTTCCTAGGATTCCAGCCCCACCTCTGCCCTTTTCCTAGGATTCCAGCCCCACCTCTGCCCCTCGGTGCTTGTATGATCTCGAGCCAGTTACGTAGCCTGTCTGAGACTGAGTTGCATCCTTCAGACAGCAGAGGACATAGCTACACTGCCCATTTGTGTTCCGGGATTCACATTGTGGGCCCGTCATACACATGGGTTGCCTTTTCTGGAATGGGTCGGACAATTCAAGAGGTCTTGGAAGATCAGTACAATCTGTTCGTTAATATATCGTTTTCAACAAATGCACATCTGTGCCAGGCCCTAGTCTGAGCATGACAGAACTGAAAACACTGAACAAGAGAGACAACATCTCTGGTCTAGCAGACAAGAGAAGATAGCACGCCCAATACAGAAAAATGCTGCCCTTTGATGAAACGCAGGCATGATCAGCTCCACTCCCTCACACTAAATTTCACGCTTGCAAAGCGAGCATAGCCTACCAGCAGCATAAGGAAAGAGGAGAGTCTGTAGTATTGTCTTTTTTTTTCTCCTCAATACTTTAATACTTTCCAGCATTTCATTACACAGAAACACAGGATCAAGGTATTTTCATTAATTTAGAGAATCTTGCCCATCTCTTAAAAATGGGAATTCAGAATAGATGGGTGAGAAAAAGATCTCCCGTGCACGTGAGTCTCCACCCATCTTCCTTGGACATCACGGGTCACCATGAGTGGATGGATACACAGGCATATCAGCGTGTCTACTTGGGTTATCCTCTAGGTTTTTACCCCGTCTCTTTTTCACTTTTTTATTCGTTTAATTTCAGGTGGCCAGGAGATGGGGAAAAAGGAAAAACAAGCCCAAGATGAATTATGAGAAACTGAGCCGTGGCCTACGCTACTATTATGACAAAAACATCATCCACAAGACAGCGGGTAAACGCTACGTGTACCGCTTTGTGTGCGACCTACAAAGCCTTCTGGGATACACGCCCGAGGAGCTCCACGCCATGCTGGATGTCAAACCCGATGCCGACGAGTGACGGACACCCAAGGGGTCGGGGAAAACTCTGCTGAGACATTTCGAAGAACAACCATGTTGGTCGGACTCTTAATTTTTAATCGTTATTCTATTTTTAATTTTCCAGAACTCGTTTTTTACATTCAGGGGTGGGAGCTAAGTGAGCTGCAGCTTAACCAATTGTGAGCAGTTGGAAAAAGAGAGCCAGGACTTGTGGGGTGGGTGGGACGAGAAATTCTTGAGCAAATTTTCAGGAGAGGGAGAGAGAGAAAGAAAGAGAGAGAGAAGGGTTCTTCTTAGAAGCTTGAAGGATCTGGCTTAAGGGAGGAGGAGACTAACACGTCCCATTATTTTTTAAAAATCGTCCATGAAAAAAAAAAAGGCATGTCTTGAGTTATGGACCTATTAGCAAAAGAAATTGACACATCAGGAGTTCTGAGACCCATGAAAAGGCAATTAATTTGCTTTTGGTTTTAGGTCTGGGAGGGCAAAAAAGAGGGAGGTGGGATGAAACATTTGTTTGGGGGATGCACTAAAAACCAAGGACTATTTACTTTTTACTCAACTTTCGAAACAAAGATGGACTTCAGTGGGGAGGAGCCCAAACTGTTTTTGTGTTAAAATTTATTTTATTAAATTTTGTGCCAGTATTTTTTTTTTTTTTTTCTTAAAAATCGTCTTAAGCTCTAAGGTGGTCTCAGTATTGCGGTGTCATGCAAGTTTGTTTTTTATTTGCCGGCTGAGGATTCTGTCACAGTGCAAGGAAACTGTTTATATAGACCCCACTGGAAATGCAAAGTGCTGTCACTGAGATCGGGGATCCCAAATTCATGTGACTTCTATATGAAGGAAAAAAATCATGCTGATTTGGGTACAAGAGACCTATGCATGTGAATTTCATCTGTGTTTTAAAAAATGATCACACCCCTCTACTTACTTACCATTAGTGGATTCTCGGGGTTTGGACTTAACGTTGAACTAAGAAGCATTAAGTCTTTGAACTGAATGTATTTTGCAGCCCTGGTTTTGGACCACAGTCAATGTAGGAGCACTGTTGAGGTCATAGAAAGGAGATCGAAGGAGAAAGACTGACTTGGTTCTTTATCGGTTCTATACCTGTAACATTTATGACTTGGAATAAAAGCTGTGTGCATGGGCATTACCCCCTCAGGTCTTAGGAAGTAAATCCTGAATGCTTGTCATTCCACACCAGCACTCTACTCTTTCTCCTTTATGTCTCATTGTCCCGGCATCCCACATTTATTGCTTCCCCCCACCCTGTTACCCAGTGGAGAGAAATGTCCGACTTTCCAATTGGTGAGAGAAAGAGCAATGCAGTCATGCCATGAGATGGAGAGTGGCTGGCAAAGTCATTTAGATGTCCTGGGTTTTAGGAACAATGGAAATTAAGGTTGCGTGGAAGTAAAATGTGGCTTGGCTGTCTTTGGGAGGAGAAATGCATGGCTTTCCTTTGAGGAGTGTCAGCTGGTGGAGTCAGGTGTCGAGTAGGCCGTGCATGCAGCGTGAAGAGTGCAGACCCTATCTGGGCCCGTGCTTGGATCTGTTATCTTGGCACAGGGTAAGTGAAGGTTAATAATTGCAGAAGAGACAAATGACTTGAAGGCAAAAGAAACATAAGAAAAGGAGCTTGAGTGAAGAAAATAAGGTGGTCCGTGCGATTCGAGTAGATTTCTGGTTCCTCCAAAGCTCAGCGACAAACTCCGTTGACTGGGGCAGTGCTGAAGGGTGGTCTGCAAAGGTTTGGGTCTTTCTCCAGGGTGGGGAGGGTGGGAACCAACATCTAACCAGTGAAGAAAAGTGCCTAAAACACTTGAACCCCGCCCCCCGCAATAGATGCCTGATTAAAAAGGATGATGACCGAGGGACAGCTCTCGCGGACTTCAGTGGGAGAGGCGAAGAGATATTTAAGGTGGGCTTCTCAGGGTGAGCCCTTCTTGGGCTCCAAGGGAGAGACCAGAAGTACTAACTACCTGCTAGCATAGCTTCCAGAAAGTGGGTTGTTTACTCCCAGGTCCTCTTGCAGACCCTGAATTATCAGGAAACCAGCTCTGTGATTCATGAGTCTCCTTACACTGTTAAATCGGAGTGTCTCCTTGGAAAGCAAAGGCAGAGTTGGCCCAGCTGTGTATTCTCATCTTCTTCCGGGTGCAGGTGCCTTAATGAAGCTCTCGAATATTTTAGGAGCTGCTCAGGGAGTGTTAGGCGGAACTGTTGGATTACGTTGTTTTCTCTTAGATTATGGGATCTTTGTTGGGCACTGGCAAAGGCGTGTGTGTGTGCCCACGCACGTGTGTGCGTGTGCACGTGTGCGTGTGCGTGTGTGCATGCTTGCAGACATGTAGAACTGCCGCTAAAATAATACCTGGGTTTTTCGGTTAAGTCTTTCCACATTTCAGCAACAGGCAAGAGTAGAACCAAGGCAGGGCATCGGTCTTGCTCGCCGTTCGCAACCAGGCAGAACATGACTTTCTCAGCGCACCCACCTTTCCTCTTGCGTTTCTGCTGGAAACTCCCCTTGTGTGAGCATGTCTAAGTCCTGCAAGAACTCCATAGCAGATAAGAGATAAGAAAGTGCCTCCTCCTGCTCCTCAGCCCGTTTGTTTGCTAAGATGCCTCTCTCTCTAGGTCCGCCATTTTCAGTATTTGTAGATAGTGCGCTAGTTAGGGAAGACAGCTTTGTCCATCTGGCCAGATGCTTTTTCTCCTTCTGTCCAGGGGCCAGAGACCATCCCAGGAAGAGTGGTGGGTGGTTTATACACTGGAAATGTAGCAGAATTGTTGCATTTATGCTTTTTAAAAACACATGTTAACTTCAGAGGAAGGATGGGCAAATCTGGTTGAGCTGATGAAACCCTTATTTTCCTGGAGATGCCTTAACCCGTGTTGGTTTTGGCTGTCGGGTTCGGGGTCACTTTTGTTTCCTTCTCCAAGCAGGGGAAGGACTTCCCTACACAGAGCCCTGGTTTTGTGGCTTTGGGGATTGGAGGTAGCATTCAAAGATCAGATGTGCTTTTCCTCACTTTGGAGACGAACACTCCGGGTTTTAGAGCATTAACCTGCCTAATCTTCATGGTGAAAAATCACACCTTCTCTGTTCTAGTCATGCTGTGCGTGCTGCTTTCTGTTGGGGTCTATATAAATGTGTTGAACTCATATCTACATTCCAAAGAAGTTTCAAGGAACCATAAATATATGTATACATATACATATATAAAGTATATATATATTAAAATGAAATTATCTCTATCAGGAATACTGCCTCAGTTACTGAACTTTTCTTAAGAATACTTTTTTTTTTAAGCTGAGAAGTATAGGGGTGAAAAAGATGTTATATTGTGTTTGACTATTTTCCAACTTGTATTTTCATATAATTTATATTTTTTAAAAAGCTGAAAATTTAAAAGCAAGATGAAAAAAGGAAAAGCAGGTGCTTTTTAAAAATCAGAACTGAGGTAGCTTAGAGATGTAGCGATGTAAGTGTCTATGTGTTTTTTTTTTTAATGCAAAAAAAATTTCTTATGGGGGAGTTTTTTTGTTTGTTTATTTTAGTAGCTGATGCTGGCACATCATTTTGCTGGAGAGTTTTTTATATACTGTAGCCTGATTTCATATTGTATTTTAAACTGTGTGAGATTAAAAACAAAGAAATTCATTCATAACAATGTGGGTTTGGTTCGATTCTTTCCTGTCTGGTGCATGTGTGAAAAAACAGGACAGACTTCATCAACCAGAGACAAGCTGAGGAAGAAAGGCAGGTCAGTCTTGCTGATCTCACGATCTCAAGACCAGCTCAGATAAAGACTTCCTAATAAACTTATAATGAGAATACAGGGAAGTATAGTGCAATACTCCAATTATTGAATATACGGTGGTCATCCTTGGTGGAATGTGCCTGGCCTCGTCACACCACATTTTATTCATGTCTGAAGGACCGAAGAGCCCACGTGAAACAAGTTTTTTAGTGACTCAACAGATAAACATTTGATTTCAAGGGAATAACTTTCCTGATAGGAACACGGGAAGTTGAACAGCTTAGCTCATGCTCTGGACATGAACAGTATTTTGGTTTGTTCTTCTGATGCTAATTTTGGTCTGTGCAAATTGGGACCCATCACATTTGTCTCCTTTGGCCCAACTCTTCCACTGGGGGTTGAAAATGGGGAATGATAATATCAGCCCGAACCTCAGCAGCCCGTGTTATAAATAAAATCATATTTATAAGTGCTTTGGGGAGGAGTGCTTGGGAACACATCCTACGTGGTACTTTTCTCTTGTTGTTGAAACTGTAGAAGGTGGATGTTTTTAATTAACACCAGCATTTGCAACATGAGTCCTCTACTCACAGCTGGAAAGAGAATTTTTGCTGAATTGTTCACAAAGAGAGCTCTGTTTTTGGAAAATCTGTTTCTCCCAGCCTGGAGGTTGAGGTTTGCTGAGTGCACGTTGAACACTGACTGTGTGGTCTAGTGGTTATAGAGCTGGACCGGCCATGAGGGGGTTCGGTGTCCCTACACCTCAGTCAAGCTGCCACCACTCACTGGGAGACTTTGGGAAGTTGGCTTGAGGTCCTTATATTTTTTAGACTTCAGCTGCAAACCCAAGCAAAGCCACAACTCCTGAGCCAACCTGAGGCCACATCTGAGCTCTCTCCCTTTGAACAAACAGTGCACAGAGAATAGGTTTCTGCCTCCATCAAGAATTTGGTCGGAGAGCTTACCTTTGGTGCCAAGTGGCTGTTCTCTCCCAAAGTATCTGATTTAATGCTGACCGGGTTAAAAGATACAGGATACCCTTGAATGAAATAAGCTTAGACCTCAGTTTCTCCAACTAGATGCTAGAGTTGAGAGGGAAAGTCTCAGGTAACGGAGCTTTGGTGATTTCTCTTAATGATACTTCCAAGGCTACCATATTGTTTCTGGGCCAGAGACCGTGTCTTCTAAAACGACTGCAGGATTTGGGGGTGTAGGGTAGGGTGAGGATAAAAAAAGATGCAAGGAAAAGGGGGGGTCATTCAGAAGAAGCGGGTCATCAAAAATCAAGATTTGACAGGCTTTCGGGAAGCTATGGGATAAAGTAATTGCCCAAGGCTAATCTGGCTCACAATAGGTATGGCTTTAGAGCGAGATAGGACACTCACACCACATAGACAAATAAGCAAGCAAACAAACAAAAAACAGCAACAGAGCTTCCTGTATAATGAGGTGTAACTATTTTAACCTGAAAAGGAAGAGGATTGTGATTTGTGTTTTAGGTGAAATGAGGCAAGCAATGTAGGTGAGAAGTTACATGTGGACAGACTGATGGTGCACCATAAAGATGTTCAGTTCGGCCTTCACAGCGTTGGGACCCATGTATCCAGTAGGGTCATGGGAGGTCTTTGAATAACTGGTATTCCTCATAGCAAGCACCTGTGGTTGACACTGAGTGTGAGGTGCCCTCAAAGTGAACGTGGGTCTCCTTTCTCCAGGAAAGGTCAGGAGGTCAGGACCTCCAGGAGGTCAGCCCCACACATTTACACTCCTGCCCGGTCCCTGTAGAACTTGACTTTGTAACCCTTATGAAGATATCTATCTATTCACGTTCCATGTTTACTTGGCAGGAAGCTCGTTTTATTCTAGAACCTACCGTGGAAGGGAGTACAAAAGGTCATCATGTTCATCAGCACCACCTGACTTCTGAGCCCTTGTTCTTTCCATTAGGCCACATTACCACCCAACAGCTCCAGAAGGTCTCCTTTGATGATGTTGGCTAATGGGCCCCCGTCCATGGGAGCCACAGCCCCAGTTACCAGGAGGTACACTTCCTACATCAAACACAGGACAAGGACAGCCTTCTCCCTAGAAAGAAGCTTTTCCACTTCCGCAACATTTCCTCTGCCTGTCCCCAGGGGTGACTCCGGGAAAGCAGTGTATAATGCAAGTTCAGGGGTACAGAGGCCTTTCTCTGGCTCAGATGCAGGGACACTTGACCTGGGCAGGTGGCCCCTGCCTTTCAGTGGGGAAATAGACTCAGCGTGCTGCTGGTTGTTCACTGCTCTTGGGGTTCCTCCATGCTATGAGGATCCTCACCTAAGAACAGCAAAGGAGAGAAGAGAAAAGCACTTGCCTGGCACCTCCTACAAGGAGACAGAGATTTAAGGAAGTTGATAAAAGTAAGAGTTGATCAGTTGATGAACATTAGAAAAGGCTTGAAATTGAGGTAAGAAGCCCTTACTGAGAATTTCAAGCTGCACCTCAGAAACTCAGGTGGCTCTGCCTCTGCCCCTTGACCACTGCCATTTCCTGCTTTACTCGGTGTTCCGATCCTTTTTCCCTTTTCCATTTTCCTGAAAAATATTTCTGTACTGAGAAAGCCAGGTTCATTTAATTGCCTGGTCTATCTCAACGTTGCTGACGTCCAGAGTTATGACAGTGACGCTTATCTGTCCATGGCAACACGGGACAATCAACAGTGACCAGGTCTCATGACGTACTGTGTGATTCCCAAAGCCCTCATGAGTTCACAGCCCTGTCCTTAATCTCTCCTCCTGCCACTCAGGCTCCCCTGCTCTCTCAGCCACCGTATTTTCACAGAGCTTTGATGTTGGGTCAGCTTTGCTCACTCCACGGGGTACCATGGGGAGGGGCAAGGAGGTTTCTGGCAGCCACCTGTGGGAATTATAAGGGGTCAAGAGATAGCCATTACCTTCTTCTCCCTGCCCATTCCACACTGACCCTGGGCAGTAGCAGGCTGTTTTTCATCTTTTTACAGGCAAATCTCAAAATTTCAGTTGTGACGCTTCTTCTTCCCTTTTGAGGGCTGTCCCCCAGATGTGCTGGAAATAGTGACTCGAAGAGGTGGCCCCAGTCTTCACAAGGCTGGAAAGTTTGATGAGGACTCTGGGCCTTGATCTGGGACTGCCTTTTTGAGGCAAGAATATTCCAAATGTGAGAAGGAGAGATGGGATTGGGAACTTTGAAAGGGCTTTGAGAATGGTATAGTGTTCATATGAACTGATCCTGCTTATATAGATCTGAGGGAAACACAAGTTCAGAACCTTGAGAGTAATTGAACTTGAGAGTAATTGAATCTTCTCTGCTAATCTACTTCTTGGGCAGACCAATTTTGTCCCATTTGTTCTGGTTCCCACGGGAATAAGAAAGTTTACTATCATAGTGCAGCCAAGGCACCTTTTGTCTGAGATGTTTATACATATTAGGGGAAGGGTAAGTGATGGTAAAGACAATGACCAGTGTTTGGAGGGTACATAGACATTTCATTCAGGGTATCTGTTTTCTCTATGGTCAAGGTTTCATGAGCATAGCACAGAGCTGTGTACTTGAACCCAAGGGGATTTAAAGTATTTTCTTCACTGACTGACTTCAGACCACTGGGATAGGGAATGGACTCATCTGGGCTCAGGCTTCTGACTTAGGAGCAGGTAGGGGAATTGGTTGGGCCTCCTGCATGATGGTGAAGCATGTAAGCTATTCTGGGTACCCATGTGTGCAGTCTGCCTAAAATCCCAATACAGAAATCCCACAAATTCCAAATCGTCTTCTCGGCCACCACAAGTAACAACCACAAACCTGAAACCCTGCCAACAGAGGCTGAATTAAAACAAGGGTGACCACAAAGACTGGTGTACCTGGGACAGTCCCAGGGTCAACCCATTGTCCTGGAATAATTATTCACAGCAATTCCTTCCACTTTCATGATATTTTACACAGTCTCCTTATAAAACCCATGGATGGCTTAGCTGCTGGTGAGTGGGAGAGCAAACACCAGAATTTGAAATTCTACATTTTTGAGTTAAAGGGGACCTAAAATATTATCTAGTTCAGCCTCTTCAATGAGGCATGCATGAACTCAAGGTCCAGAAAGGCCAAAAGAGTTGCCCAAAGTTACCTGATTAGTGACAGAAATAGACTTTCTACTAGAACAGGAGATCCATCTAAGATCTCCTGTTCTAGTATGTCTAGATCTTAGATGGATCTTAGATGGATCTCTTGTTCTAGTAGGTCTAGAACTAGCCAGACTTTCTACTAGAAAGTAACTCGGATTGTCCCTGAGTCCTCCCAGCCCTCTCTTTCTTCCTCTACGGTATTGGATCTCATCTGATTGCCAGACAACACATCCTAGTTTAAAGTTGATTCATAATTGATCATAGTTGATTCATAATTGATCATGGCAATTCTTTCTATTATTTCTGGTAGAGTCCGGCAATCTGCTAAGTGTTCATGTTCAGGCTGGGATCAGGAGATCCTGGGATGGTGGAAGGTCTAAGATCTGCTTTTCAGAAACTGAACATGCAGGAGGTATGGGATTGCTGTCTATGAGACTATAGTATGTCATAGCTGGAAGGTGCCCTATATGAGGATACCACTCAACAAATTATTCAGGTAGTGAACATTCATCGAACATGTGCTCTGTGGTTGACACTGGACTCAGTATTATGGAGCTGTAAGGAAAAGATAGACACAGCTTTTACCTTGACTCTGCTTTTAGTAGATGAAGACTATTGGCAGGTAAAGGGTGAATGACTATCCAGGGCAAGTATAGTATGGTTTGACATCTAGGAGGAGCACCCAGCTGGAAGAATTTATGCCCTAAAGATGAGAAGCAGTGAGCCAAGCAGAAAGGGAAGGAGGTTCAGGTTGAGGCCTAGAGGTGAGAAACT